AATAGAGAGATTCGAACTCCCCCATTTACACCCTCCCGTTTTTTCCTTTTTTTTTTAATTACGGAATCTACGATTTGATTAATCAAATCCGTAATTCGTAGATAAAAAAAGGGTGAAAAGTAGTAAACAATTTCCTTAAATTATTCTGGGAATAGTAATAGTATGAGATGTAGCTATTAACTGATTAGCTTTAGCTAAAGGAGATAAAGTTGCACCAATTTTGGCTTTTTTTAAATTAGATAAAGCTTCAGCACTTAATTTACGAGATTTGAATTTGTCTAATGTTTGTTTAGAATGTTTGAAATTTAAACTAGATCCTGCTTTAGCTAATATGTTATATTCAGGTTTAAATCTATCTATATAGTCTTGTTCTACTTTAATAACATTAGATCTATGACAATACTCTAATATCTCCAGACGAAAGTTATTATATCCATAAACCAATAAAGCATTCTAAATTTTACTATTATAGATATATGCTCTTTTAGTTAGCCTCGGCGTCTTCTTTGCTTACTTTTTGTTAATATATCATGATATATTAACAAAAAGTTAGCAAAGAAGACTGAGTAAAAAAAGAAATATTCCATATTTCTTTTTTTTAAGCGGAGTCGGTAATTTATAGATAAATAACTTGACAAACGTGAGCTTAAATTAGCGGAACTTCCCACATAGCTTTACCATTTATTTTATTAATCCATTTATAAATTCCGCATTTTTGTTGATTGTCTTGTAATATTTTTATTTTAGTAATTAATACATCTTCATAGACAATAATACTGCTAGTCCCGGCCCCCTGCAAGGGGGGGGGGGGGCCGGGGGCTAGAATAATAATTATGAAAATTTACTTTAAAACTGGTCTGTAAAATAATCGGACTTTTGAAATGTAATTTATTTAATATGTTTTTAATCTGTTTTTTGCCATGAGCCAGAGGAGAAAGTCGAATTCTCGTTATTAATGCATGAAATTAATGTTCTACCTATTGAACTACTCGGGCTTTTTTTTTTTAAGTTTTTTACTATTAAAACTATAATACTTTATCATTTTATGATAAAAAAGGTTATAGCATATATAACTATAAAAAGAATAAAATCGATAAAAACAATAAAACTTATAAATACAATAAAATCTATAAAAAATAAAAAATCTATAAAGTAAAACTATGTTAAGTGAAATAGTTAGCACATAAAAGGCTATCGTTTTTCAATCTAAAACCGTAATAACATCTATTTAAGCCTAAAGTATAAAGTAAAAAGAGTAGAGTATATTGGTTGGAGAATATTTATTTTTAGTAGATACAACCAACATCCTATCTAAACCACATAGGTATAAGTATATTTATAGTACATGTAATAGGTATACTGTATTAGTCTATAAACGTGTATAAACGTATATAAACTAATATAGCCCATTAAATAACAACCCTATATATAAAAGGTCCCCCCTTACTTTTTTTTTACATATATCATAATATATGTAAAAAAAAAGTAAGGGGGACCAAACAGTATACTGGGAGGATACCCTGACTCGAACAGGGAACTTACTGTGCCACATACAGTTGTTCTGCCAATTGAACTATATCCACCTTTTTTTATGTAGGGGTGATTCGAACACCCATAAGTAAATACCAAAAATTTATGACTTACCATTAGTCTACTACATATTAATAATGATCAACATATTAAAAAATTAAAATATGTAAACTTTATAGAATAATACATTACTATAATATTTATGGGTAATAAGACTCGAACTTATATGAATTAATTTCACCCCGTCCTAAGCGGGACCTGTCTACCAATTTCAGCATACCCATTTTTAGTGCTAAAAAATAAATTTATTTTAGGATACTGTGTAAATAAACCTTAAGATATAAATATTGTATAAGCAATACAAATATAACTTATATAAACACAACTTAAAAGTATAAACACAACTTAAAATAAGTTAATTCACCTTAAATGTATAATACATTTTAAAATAACTAGATACACCTTAAATAACCTAAATTTAGTTGTATTTTCATTAAACATAACTATTAAATAAATAATTATTAAGCTGTATACCATTTTTAATTTATCTTCCTATAATAAACTAAATACTACTTTTTAAATAATATGCTCGATATAAGATTTGAACTTATAGCTAAACATTTTATTTGTTAATGCATTTAATTAAAAATTAGTACATTTAATTTATAACAAACATATAAAATACATTACTATGTATTTATATATAAAAGATAAAAATTATAAATAACCGTATAAATATATTTACCCCTTTTTGTAAAAATAAAAGTAACCTTTATGTGTTCAAGTTTAACGGTGTTCGCCTTATACACTTGTTTGTCGCATCGTGCTTAAACGGAAGATTATACAGTTGGTTTGTATGTGGCTGAACAAGTATAATAACGTAGGAGGTGTTTCTGGACGATTGTTACTGAAAACCTTTAGTAAAGAAGTGTAGAACGGAGGTAGTATAAGGTGTAGGAATAAATATAAGCTTACAAATAGATTCCTCATCAGAATCTGGAACAACGGAGTCCCGAAGCTAAGTGGTATCTGACAAAGTTATTTTTGTTCCCTCGTACAATGAGCCAAGTGTTCCCTTTTACTGTACAGATATACCTTATACCCAATGGTAAATTTGATCGAATGAGCACGAGAGGTTTATCTTCTTCCCTCTTATTTTTTTTTTCGACGCAATTTCTACGAAATTGCTAGAAAAAAAATTACGCAGCTTAAAAAAAAAGAAATATGTAATATTTCTTTTTTTTTTACTCAGACGCCGAGGAACTTTTTTTTTATATATCATAGATATATAAAAAAAAAGTAAAAGAGAGTAACGGTATACAGAAGACATGATTGGCAAAGTTAAAGTATGAAAGAGATAAGGTGTAGAATTATGAGCTTTGTGCAATAATGCTAATATGACTTCTACTCGGTTCAACGATTGGATGCCTAGTCTAATTGGCAGCATGGTTGCTTTGTTGGCACAGCTAAAAATAACATGGTTGCTTTGTTGGCACAGCTAAAAATTGCCGTCGCCTTGTTGGCGTTTTAAAATATAAGTACCACCCTTTTCTCCCGACTATTTCGTTTTCACCACCCCACCAAGGCATCGCATACTACAAACATACCGTCCACCAACCATCTTTTCGCCAACCGCTTTTATCAACACACTTCTAATTTTTTTTCTAGTAATTTCATAGAAATTACGTCGAAAAAAAATAAAAACCACCCTTCCACTTACCATACCACACCACTCCCCACATCATCCACACCACAATGGCTACTACTGTACCCTCGACCAATTCCCCTTTTAAAGTCTGGACTACCGAACCTGTCCACCAAAATCTCGACCCGTTTTCTTCCGAACGTCTCATCTTTCGAACTCTCCTCGATTCTGATTTTCCAGCATATCACACGATATTGAGCCAAGAAGACGCCGGGCTATTTGAGAAAATTTAACTTACTTAAATACATTTACCTTTTTAACAGTATACTATATACATCTGCCATACACCCCAATTCTATACACTATTTCAATGAAAACATCTTTTTTAGGTATGCTTCATTATTAAAACTAAAATAACCTATAATACAATATATTAATATATGCCCAAGACAAGATTTGAACTTATAACCTAAACACCTTCAAAGTTTCGCTCTACCAATTGAGCTACCTGGGCTTTTTTTTTATCTTGCATTTTAAAGTTACTCCTATTTATTTACAGCTAATATACTCCATCTATTTTTAAACACAGCTCCCCTCTTTTTATACTTACGAATAGTTCATTAACTAATATTTAAGAAATTGGCAGCTTGTACATTAGAATTAAAAAGTTTTTCTTTACCTGTTTCAAGATCTAATAATTTAACAGGTGAAGATAGACCAGATGAAAAAGACATTTTTAACTTAGACTCTTTACTGTGTTTTCTATTGTTATTACTATTTCTTTCCTTCATTTGTACTATAGTAGAGTAAGAATGCTTAAACCCTACCCTGCGGGTTCCCAGCTTTTTTTTTATTTATATAAAAAACAAAAAAAAGCAGGGAACCTTAAGGGGTTCCCTTACTTTTTGTTGTTTTTTTTTCTTTTGCTCAAGGTTTGTAGTGGATTTAGGCAAAAGAAAACAAAAAGTTACCATCTTAAAAGAAATATTCCATATTTCTTTTTTTTTTATCCAGTCTTCGATTCTTTTTTAAAAAAAAACAAAAAAGATGAAGACGCCGGGGCTAACTTTTTTTTTAATATATCATGATATATTAAAAAAAAGTAAAAGGGAAAGGAAGAACCAGCAAACTTAAGTATATTGTAGCTTGGTATTAAAGTATTTAAATAAAATTCTTTCTGAGTAACCTCTTCCAGCTTTTTTTATTTATATAAATAAAAAAAAAGCTGGAAAAATGCTCAAGTATCTCCAACCTCCATACACTTAAATCATACTTTAGTATAACTGAGTATATAATAGACTTATGTTTATATGTTTTAACATAATTAGTATTTAAATAACATTTAACTCTTCTGTTTATAACCGTACTACTTCCTATATAAGGACTACCAGTACGGTATTTATTCACCTGTAAACACCAGACTTACCTTTATTATCCTTTCAAATTTGTACCCTTTTATCTTCAAAGTTATTATACATAAAGAAGTAACTTATAAAGCTTCATTTACCAAATTTAAATTTGAATATAAAAAAGGGGAATAAACTGAAAAATAAACTATAAAAATGTAACATAAGATCGACATAATATTTGAAATTCAATATAAAGTACAACCATTTTTTTTTTCAACATAATCTTATGTATTTTGACATAATAATGAGTGAATAATAATTTGATATTTAATTTTAACGTTGGAGATATTAGGACTCGATCCTAAAATAACGATATGCAAAATCGCAGTTTTACCAATTAAACTATATCCCCTTAAGTTAATACATAAAAATAACTTATAAAGTAAGCCCAAGCGGGGTTTGAACCCGCGCATTTAACAGTGAAAATGTTACGTCTTAACCACTTGACTATTGGGCCTTAGATTTTATATAAATGCTTAAAAACGCAAAATATAAGAGTAAAAAAAAAGTATTTAAATACCATGTAAAAATGACAATATTGTTTATTTATGTTTAATACTTACATCTTTAAAAATAAAAATTTATAAGTAAAAATTTTAGGTAAGCCTGTTTCGCTGGTTTACCTCAGCGCTTAAAAAAAAAAGAAATATGGAATATTTCTTTTTTTTTACTCAGTCTTCTTTTCTTCTTACTTTTTTGTTTGATATATATATCAAAAAGTTAAACAAGACGCCGAGGAACTTTTTTTTAATGATATATTAAAAAAAAGTCAGCCGGTAAGCCTAGTTATAAATTATGCCAATACTACCCTTACTTTTTTTTAATATATCATGATATATGTAAAAAAAGTTAGATCGGGATGTCCCCTAAATATTTTATTTGTTTTGCCAATATTTGCTGGTGACTTAAGCAAATAAAATATTAATAGAGGGGGAGAAAACCCCTTTAGGGACTAGTATTATAATTACATGGGAAAGAATGGTTAATTACTGTCCCCAAAAGGATCCCTAAGGTATACCCGTAGGGTACACTCTGCTTTTACAAGGACTTGTGACCTTACCGTATAAATACAGAGTAGCTTTCACACCATCTTTCTAGACCGGTACAACCGACATAAGATAAACTAAAGCGAAAAGATATTACGCGACAAGAATCATATTAAGTGACAAGAAATCAAAAACCAAACCAACGTATTGGAGATTTTGAAGGTTATTTGGGGCGCCACCCATCAACAATCTCCTACTAACCCACAGGGATACGCTCATGTGTTTCGTTTTTCTAATATGTTGTTTATACTGGTCATGGTGTGTTGGGAGTTTGTTATACCACAGCACCTGTATATATAAGTTACAGAGTGTTAATGTGGTGGTTATTAACCTTTTCTATAAGGCCAGAATGACTTGAACACTCATCTGAGCTGTTATGAGCAGCTTGCTTTGCCTATTAAGCTATAGCCTTTAACTATGCGGACAGAGGACTTGCACCCCTATTTACTGGTCATGAGCCAGGTATGTTACTATTACATCAATCCGCGTTAATTCTTCCCTCCCCTACTTTTTTTTTCATAAATTGTATTATATGAAAAAAAAAGTTAAAGCTGGCGGTTATTTTTTTCGACGTAATTTCGAATATTCGAAATTACTATTCTCTCCCCCTTCAGGGGTCCATCCCCCCCCCTTTTGGGGACTAGCAAAAAATTAGCCCTCCAGTCTTGTTTAACTTTTTTTTTGATATATATATCAAACAAAAAAGTAAGAAGAAAAGAAGACTGGGGCTGTTATTTTTTTTTTACATATATCAAGATATATGTAAAAAAAAAATAACTGGGAAAATATCTAAATAGCCCAGTACGAGAATTGCACTCATATCTTCCGATTACAAAACGGGTGCATTACTATTATGCAAACCAGGCTAAATAAAGTATTTTTAATGATAAGTATGTTATTTAGTTAATGATAATAAATTAGTACTTTATACCTAAGAACATCAAAGCCCTTTCAGCCAAAGCCTATAATCCTTTAACCATATTGTTAGAACTAGAGTTAACTGTAGCAGCTACTTTTCTAGCACTAACCCTATGAAAAATTTGGATTCGTAATGTTATACTACGTTTCTAAGAGTATCCTAAGGTAAGCTTCGTGCCTAGATGCATTCAGCACTTATCTTAACTAACATAGCTTTCCTGCCATGCCTATACTATGTATAAATACTTGAGTATAAAAGTATTACCATCTATAGCTCAAATAGGTAATAAATTCACATGAATCTATCTATATTACTCTCCTTCTTCTATAGATACCCAATTTCTACTCATTAAGGAGAACCTATTCTTGCCGTAATTTATCAGGTTAATATTAAGCGCATAAACAACAGGTAAACCATAGGTTACCATACCCAACTCCTTTCGTACGAAGGGGCTATCCTTATTTTACTCCAATTTCCTCTAGAAGATAGAAACCATACTGTCTCACGACGTATTTAACCCAGCTCGTGTAGCTCTTTAATCGACGAACAGTCGTACCCTTCATGATTCCTGCATTCATGTGGATGAGCTAAGCCGACATCGAGGTGCCAAACTGCGCACTCAATTTGTACTCTCTGGCGCAATTAGCCTGTTATCCCCAGCGTAGCTTTTTCAATAATACAAGACCTTTCCTTACTGCGTCTTGCGGTCTTTATGCCCTGCTTACGCAACTGATAGACGTGTATGTCAAACAGTAAAGCAAGATTAAGCCATTAAACTTTGGAAGTATATATCAACATCATTTCTTATAGAGGTATTCTAAAAAAAATAACTAATAGTGTTATAATAATATCTTCTTTTACAATTAGATATTCATTATTAATACTATATATACACCTATTTTCCACATAGGTAAAATCTTACTTATATTAAATTGTTTTAGTTCTAACTTAAATAGAAATATAACTGAATTAGTTATAGATACTTTATAAAAGTAAATATAAAAAATAACAAACTAAATATAGTAATTAAAAAATTAAAATATAAAAGGCAATTATTTAATAAAAGCCCTATATAATTTGCGTATAGCATATTACAAAAATAAATTTGGATACTCCCAGGTACTCTTTATGGGATCTGTGCCCCGCATAAACCATCTGCTAGCCATTGTCTCCTGAGCTTGATATAATCTCCCTCCTTTTATGGATTACATTCAGACGTCAGTTACAATAATGTAACCTATTCTACTGATATAACAACCAGAGTAAAGGTGTTTCAATTTTGTCGCTCAACTACCTTATTCCCTAAAACCTGTTAAATTATACCCTATAACTAGTAACAGTAAAGCTGCATGGGGTCTTCTCGTCTATCTAGAGATAGGCAGTATCTTCACTGCCATTCCAGTTTCACTGAGCCAATCATTGAGACAGCTGTTGCATCGTGAGATCATTCATGCGCGACATCATTTAAATGCCAAGGTATTTCGCTACCTTAGGACCCTCATAGGTAAGGCCGCCATTAAATGGGGGTTCCTTCAAAACCTAGCCTATTTTAGTCGTCTAAGTAAATCCGTTAACCAGCCATCATTGGGCAGATAGCGCACTCTATACATTGATTTACATCTTACGCAAAGTGCTGTGTTTTAATTAAACAGTCGTGCAACACCATTTTATGTCTCCTCTTCCTAAACTGATATTAATCAGTAGGAATGGCACACCTTCTCCCTCAGTTACGGTGTCAATTTGCCGAGTTCCTTAATGATTGTTAGCTCAAACGCCTTCGTATTCTCTACTAGCTTACTTGTGGTAGTTTTTAGGTACGGTTTTATATGTTTAAGGAAGCCTAGTATTATCTCTCTAGTTTATTTACTAGTCCCGAGGGGGACTTACCTTTAGGTCTGGCCCCTGTAGGGGACCATCCAAAAGGATAGTATATTTATCTACATCCTTAGACTATATGCTTTTCCAGAACATTTTACTCAATTTCTTTATGTTGTCACATATAATCTCCTCATCATTTTATCCTTTAGGTTTAATTTAGAGACCGATTAACTTTCCCATAAGCTTAAGGCGAGAGGGCCTTTTAGGGGCATCCTCTTTTTCGTTACTCGTGTCAGCATTCTCACTTGGGATATTTATGGAAACCCGCAATTTAGCGAGCAAATTACAAATGTAATTATGAAAATAGATGTATCCTTCCCCTCTATTAATCCAGTTTTTATAAATTAAAAAAGATTCTAAGGGGTTTATTACCTATTTTTAATCCTATTTACCCAATGTTCCGCTACCCCATAAATAATACTTAAATAATCTTTAAGTATATTAAAATAGGATTTAACCTAATATTATTATTATGGACAAGGTGTCGGTGTTTTGTTTTAGATCCGTTATATCTTCGGCGCTTTTAACTTATAAGGTTAACTAATTAACCGTTTGAACCAGTGCTCTGTTACGAGGTCTTTAAAAAATGGCCGCTTCTAAGCCTATTTCCTGGTTGTATAGTTTAAATACTTCCTTACTTTCACTTAACAAAAACTTTGGAACCTTAAACACTTGTTCTGGGCTGTTTCCCTTTTGACACACAACCTTATCGTTAAATGTCTGATAGTTCAACACTCATCATTGCCCTTCCGAGAGCAAATACTCGCGAATAGAGTCTTCACGACCCCCCCATATGCACAAGGCATTATATACCCTAATAGGATATTAATGCACAAATTGTCCGAGATTACAGTTCTGTACCTGCTATGATGTTATTTAAACTACATACTTACATATGTTTCGCGGAAAACCAGCTATAGTAGTCAGGATTGTCTTTCACTAACTTACCACAGTTCTTTGGATATCTTTACAACGATAACCCATTCGGCCTTTTATAAGCCTGACCATGGTAAGATCACTACTCTTCGGGTCTCTAATTAGATACTAATTCATTACTTAATAATTGGATTATCTAGGCAAATTGATTCTTTTTTTGTGTATTTATATTATTATATTGTCTATCTTGTTGATTTCTATTATCATTTAATATATCACCACGAATCACTACTTGCTTGCATCTAACTAGAACTTGCTGACCCATTATACAAAAGGTACGCTCTCATATGTTTATTAAACTTACCTTGAGCTGCTTATAAGACTACTATTTTACATACTTCCTTCACAGTACTATTCTCTATTTCTTGTATATTATATTAAGGCTTAGAGGAAGGTTCCCCTATATTCAAACAGATTAATCCATTTTACTTTAAGCCTATATCTATTTTCATTCACACTACTAATAGAATCTCGTTTGATTTATTTTCCTGAAGCTAATAAGATACTTCAATTCACTTCGTTTTTTTTATAGAAATTCTTCTACCATTTTCCCTAATAAATGAAAATTACTCCATCATTTTTACGGTACTAATGGTTTAATATACAGCCTTTTATTATTCTATAATAGTCTCTTTATATACTAGCCATAAAATTAATCCTTATAATATGTAACACAAATATATAAGGTAATAAAATTATGAAATAATACATTACATATCAAATACATTACTATATATTTTTATCCCCCCCTATTTTTTTTAGTTATTTCTCTTTTTTTTTTCGACGTAATTTCTATTAAATTACTAGAAAAAAAAAAAAGAGAAATAACGTCAAAAAATTAGGGGGGGGGGAAATAAATGATTTAAAATCCCATTTCGGGTTATTATGATTCGAACATAACAAATCCTCAACCCAAATGAGGCGCCTAACCAACCTGGCTCTAACCCGTTTAGAATGTACAGTGTACTTTAGTAAAGTATAACACAGTTATACTATTTATATAGATATAATATAATGTACTTATATTGTATAACAGATAATCTATTTATAAAAATACAAGATGATATGCTTATATTGTATAACAGATAATTTATTTATAAAAATACAAGATAATATACTCATACTTAATGACAGATAATCTATTTATAAAACAGAGAATCTATCAAAATATAACAGAGAATATCCGATTCGAACGGATGTGATTTTTCAACCAAATAAGTTTCAAGCTTATCACTTTAAGCCACTCAGTCAATTCTCTTTTTTAGTTTGTATTGTTCTATGAACTAAAAGATAAAATAAATTATTCATTCTTATAGTACAGGTATGCACAATTCTATCTTAATTAATAAATGAAATATGTTACATATACTTAAAGTACAAGTGCGTACAAGACTCGAACTTGTAAGAACATGTCCGTAGCATGTCGTTATACCAATTTAACTAACGCACCTTACTGATTCCTCAACGAATTGAACGTCGATCACATCCTTATCAAGAATGCGCTTTACCTATTAAGCTAAGGAACCTTTATTACACATATAATATTTGAAAATTTAAAACAATTAAACCCCGGCGTCTTTTTTGCTTACTTTTTTTTAATATGTCATGATATGTAAAAAAAAAAGAAATATGGAATATTTCTTTTTTTTTAAGCGCTTAGATTATTAAATTAAAAATATTAAAACTTATATATCTTTTCATTATATTATAGCAAGAGCATCCAGACTTGAACTGGAAATTTGAAGTTTGAAGCTTCCTATTTTACCAATTAAACTATACTCTTTTTAAAATTATTAATAACACCTTATATAAAATTGAACAATACTTTTTAATAAAATGATGTTTAAAATTAAACTAATGTTGATAACCCCATTTTTGAAATGAATTAGACTCTTTATTGATTTTTTTATTAATCTAAGCGCTTAAAAAAAAAGAAATATTCCATATTTCTTTTTTTTTTACCAAGTCTTGTTTGCTTACTTTTTTTTAATATATCATGATATATTAAAAAAAAGTTAGAAGACGCCGGGGTTTAAAAGATTAGTTATTGTTTTCAATATAATTACCTGTGGAAGACTTAATTTTATAAATATACTACATAAATACACTAAATTCAAAATAATGAAATTATTGTTATTATGTATAACTTATACTATCTGTATAGATGTGTAAATATTCTATGTCTAGATGCGTAAAAACTTTATCCCTTTAGATGTGTAAAACTTTATCCCTTTAGATGTGTAAAAACTTTATCCGTTTAGATGTGTAAAACTTTATCCCTTTAGATGTGTAAAACTTTATCCCTTTAGATGTGTATAAATATTATATCTATATTCGGAAAAGAGTGGATTTGAACCACCAGGTGTTAAACACAATATTTAGCAAATATCTCGCCTTACCTATAGCAACTTTTCCTTTTACCTGCAAGATCATAAAATTTTAATTATAAAAACTTTGACTAGAATTGGGGTTAAATATGGAATAGAAGTTAAACCTATAATGGATGTTGAACATATAAAAGTTAAGTGTAGAATGGATGTTAATAAAGAATTTAACTTAAATACAAACTAGCCCCCTAAAAAAAAATGTTTACATCCTTTCCATGCGGGGTAGGATGTAAAATTTTTTTAACCCCTACGGGGGCCTGGGCGGGGACTTGTCCACGCCTTGGGGCAAGGCTCGGACCCCCCCCTTTGCAGGGGGGGGGGAGGGGAAATATATAATTATAAAATTCATTATAGAGTACGAGTCAGACCGGGCTTGAACCGATATCTACTTTCGTGACAAGAAAGTCCTCTACCATTAAGTTACTGACCCAATACGGCCAACCGAACTCGAATCGGTACAAATCGTTTGGAAGACGAATGGACTAACCAATTATCCTATGGCCGCTTTTTTTGTTTTAATAAAATCCCCTCCCCCCCCCGCAAGCCTGCGGGGGGGGGAGGCGAATTCTTTCTATTTATTAATATTGTTTAATGCATATTCCTATATAAACTGCTCTAACTTTTTAATCTTTTTTCCTCAGCGCTTAAAAAAAAAGAAATATTCCATATTTCTTTTTTTTACTCAGTCTTCGAGACTTTGTCTCTTACTTTTTTTTCATAATCTGCAGTAACATCTATACCTCCTAGCTTTACTACTAAATAGATTCCTTTAATTGGTTGTTTAGAAAGATAGTAATTAAAGTGAGTAGGAGAAATACCCATATAGTTTGAAGCTTTTACGATAGAAGAAACAGCAATAGGAACAATAGCAATAAACCTAAACCTAATAATATTATATGCCTTATATTGAAACTTGGTCGGTAGTTAATAAACCTTACTTTTGAATTGTTTACTATATTTAATCTTACCATGTAGTTAGTAAGGATTTGCACCCTACAACCTAATAACTTTAACTGGATTAGGCATTAAACCTTCATCTAACTATTTATTATAAGCTTTAATAGATTAACTTTCTCTAATTAGAAATATGATATTGCTTAAATAGATGGTATTACTTAAATAAATGAATGGTCTACCATTAACCTATAGCCGTATATATTTTTTAAGATCTAAGGGACTTGAACCCTTATGAGAATGATTAAAAGTCATACGCTTTACCATTAAGCTAAGATCTCTATAAACATATTTACTTACCATTAATAAGTAATAAGAAATAAGTGATTCGAACACTTAACCTGCCGCGTGTAAAACGGATGCTCTACCAATTGAGCTAATTTCTTTTTTTTTTATTGTTTAAAAAGTTTCTTTTTTTTTCCAGTTATTTTTTTTTTACATATACCTTTATATATGTAAAAAAAAATTACAGCCCCAGTCTTCTTTTCTTCTTACTTTTTGTTTGATATATATATCAAACAAAAAAGTTAAACAAACAGGAAAGACGTAATATTATTTTTAATTTTTTTTTTATTTTACATTAGTTTGTGGCTTTAGAGTAATAACTATTGCCCCAACCATCGCTAGTAATAATATAATGGATGTAATTATTAATCATATAGAATAATTACCATACAGTATATTTCCTATACTTGTTATATGAGAAGTTTCTGCTAAATATCCATCTCATGACACAGATGTAACATTAGTTAATTTTTTTTTAATGCTAAAATGGTATAGTAAATTATTAGTCATTACCATATAAGGTAAAACATTATTAACAAAATAATTAAAGAAACTACCTACTAATATAGCTAAAGGTATACTATTAATACTATCTATTAATAGTTCAGATATTCTAACATTTATTAACATTAATATAAATAAAAATAAGATAGATACCGCTCCAACATACACAAGTAAGTAAGATAAACCTATAAAGTTTAATCCTGTTAGAATTAAATAAGCAGATATACATAAAAATAAACCTATTAAAAATAAAACAGATACTATAGGATTTTTACTAATAATAACTAATATACCTAATAAGATAGCAATAATGTACAGTAAATCTAAATTAACTACATTATAACCACTAAATGTCATTTCATTAACTATATACAACATATAAAATTGTTCTTTACCCTTTTCATAACTATTATATGGCTATTATATAAGTAAAAATATGCCTAGTCTATATTACGATTATATAAGTAAAAAGTATACCTAGTCTATATTACTATTATAATAGCCATTAACAAATAACCATATATATAACTATGAGGTATAAACTGCCCTCTATAATTATTTGTAACATTGTTTGAAATAAATCTATTCCCCCTACTTTTTTTTCATATATTGTAATATATGAAAAAAAAAGTTAAAGCTTGCGGGGGGGGGGAATAAATAATTAAATGTGTTAAGTAATTAAATTCAAAAAGTAAAAGGCTCTTGGAATTCACTTAAACTGCAAAAATAGTAGGCATAAGTCTTCTATAAATAATGCAAGCCTTTAAAATGAATCAAACATTTATCAGAATATTAACAGTATTCCCCTCTACTAATGATCTATAAAAACTATTAAATAATGTAATATATGTATAAAATTAACTATATAAGAATTATATTTATAACACAATATAAACATTTAATTATATTTTAGGAGACAAGAGATTCGAACTCTTAAAAGCGTAATACTATTGAGTTTACAGCTCAACCCTTCTTACCAATAAAGGAACTCTCCTTTTTTAGTGTAATTACTATATTCTCCGGTGAAGTTCAAATATGTATAACTACACGCTAAAACTATCCAAATATCAGCTACTTATATTTAACACATTTAAGTATGAAAAATTTATAAAAATTTTCAGTATAATTACAAATAAAATATTACAATACTAGTCCCCTCTCCGAGGGTCCTTGACCCTGGGGAGCGGGACAAGGCCCTAAATATTTTTTTGTTTTGCTTAAGTCACCAGCAAATGTTGGCAAAAAAAAATAAAATATTAACCGGCGGGACTAGTATTGCAAGTACATATAAATGGCTGTTTATTACCATAGTGTGCCTTCGTTTTTACAAGGACTTTATATCTTTCCGTACAAATAGAGTAGCATACACCCTGCATCCGAAGACTCCTGTAATTTGTTTCTCCATAGTTAATCATATTTATTTCCGGTTATTTTTTTTTTACATATATCAAGATATATGTAAAAAAAAAATTACAGCCCCAGTCTTTCTTGCTTTGCTTACTTTTTTTTTAATATATCATGATATATTAAAAAAAAAGTTAGAAGACGCCAGGGCTAAACTTTAAAGTCTTAGTGTGGAGGTCTGATGCCTTTTAACTTGACGAGGTTTTTCATGTAGCTTTTATCCGAAGAACGACTTGAACGTTCACGACATAACGTCAACAAAGCTTAAATTTGTCCTGTCTACCAATTCCAGCACTCGGATTTTTACTATCCCAAAGGGATCCCCTTAGGGATACCTTTTCAATGGGTATCCCCCAGCCAAGCAGCCCCAGTCTTTCCAGCTTTTTTTTTAATTTATATAAATTAAAAAAAAGCAGGAAAAGAAGACGCGAGGGCTACTTTTGTTTTTTTTTTCTTTTGCTCAAGGTTTGTAGTGGATTTAGGCAAAAGAAAACAAAAAGTTACCATCTTAAAAAAAAAGAAATATGGAATATTTCTTTTTTTTTACCAAGTGTTCTAAGCGCTTAAAAAAAAAGAAATATGGAATATTTCTTTTTTTTTTTACCCAGTCTTGTTTGCTTACTTTTTTTTTTTTCTAGGCCCCCCTCTCTCCAGCTTTTTTTTATTTATATATATTAAAAAAAAAGCTGGAGAGAGGGGGTCCAAACAGTAATTTAATAGAAATTACGTCGAAAAAAAAACAAACGAAATAACTAAAAAAAATAAGGGGATAGAATATTGATAAAATAAAACAATATCGGTAAAAATTATAAACCAAAAAATAACTATGCTAATTCAATTTTTATATAAACCTATCCTTATGTCTGGTTATTTTTTTTGATTCATTTATCATTGAATCAAAAAAAAATTACCGGCCTAAATGCCAGCCCCACCAGCATTCAAAATTCAAAATGCCTACTAGATAACCATATAAACTTTATATGAGCCTGTTTATGGATTTGAACCATATAAATAACTAACAATTTATGCTACTTGCACAGATGTTTATGGATTGAACCATATAAATTGATAATAATTTATGCTCCTTGCACAGACTTTTTTTTGGGTGTATCGTTAATATTCATTTATCCCGGGCTAGTTCCCCAACCCGAACCGTATTTCGACTTAACACCAATTAGAGTCACGCATACGAAGATATTTCTGCCAAAAGATCTAAACCTGTACATTTAGACTAGCAATCCGCAGCCACCAAACTTATTGCACATACTCCTTTCAGCGCCTGACGAGTGGTTAGTACCTATCTGAGATAAAATTCACCGTGATGTGATTACTCACGATTACTAGTAATTCCTTTTTCATGCAGTCGAATTTCAGACTACAATCCATACTTTATCCTATTTTAGGGATTAGCTCCAATTCGCATTATTGCATCCCTTTGTAAAGGCACATGTGGCACGTCTATAGCCCACAATATTAAGGCCATGATGACTTGTCTTAGTCCCTATTATCACATCCAATTGTAAGCGGAGAGCTGCTTTATTGTAATAAATAAAACAAGGGTTTACGTTAATTTAATGGACCTAACCAAATCTCACGACATTAACTGAAGACAGCCATGCAACGCATGTGGTCTAAAAATTCAAAAAAAATATTTTAGGTCATTCAAATTGTGGTAAGGTTATTCGCGGATCATCGAATTAAATAACATACTTCACTACTGGTTTCAGAAACGGTCTAATGATTTCAGTTCCTGCGTTGCCACATTACTCTTGAGGTGGAGTGCTTCCACTTTCATTTATAGTTCCGCCTTAAAGCCAACCTATGGCACTCATCATTGTCTGCCCAGGTTACGGGGGTATCTAATCCTCTTCACTCTCTGAGCCTTCGTCCCTCAACGTCAGTTATAGCACATTGCTGTTTTCCTCTTTTTTTATATAAGATCTATCTTTTATAAGAGAAATTTCTTCTAATTTAGAAATAGCAAGTACATGTACATAGAGGTTTGCCTTCGCCGTTATCAGTCCTATTGGTATTAACAAATTTCATCTTTCCTCCAACAATTCCGACATATTCCTCTCACATATCAAACTCAAGTGTACCAGGTACTTATTTAAGCCATTGCACACCGTCTAGGTACCCTATATACCTGTTAAAGATGAATAACACTCGTCTCCCTTGTCTTACCGCGACTGCTGGCACAAGATTTGGTCGAGACCTATGGATATAAAGTTTTCATAATAAGCTTTATCCAGAACTTTATAAGACCTAGTCAAGCAAGTTAATAAACTTATTATATTAACTCTCATTCCTGCAAGTTGCTGGTTCAGCCGTTAGGCCATTGACCAAAATTCCTCACTGCTGTACTACACGCACTGGGGTTTTTTCAGACCCAGTGTGGTCAATAGACCTCTCAGTCTTGACTACGGACACAAGCTAAATATGCCATTACCATACTTACTACTTATCCGATGGTTATTAATAATCAACTAAGAGCGAAATACTATTTCTTTTAAACACATTTATTCTTAATATTATTAACCTTTATATCTAAACTTTTCAATATAATCGACCACTGGGTGATTAGATCTAGTATTAATAAATAATAATAAATGGTTATTATAAGGGATTTATTTTGCCTTACTCTTAGGTAGCCATAATACCACTTACTCACCTGTACACCACTTCAATATACATAATTTATACAAATTAAATATTGACGTTCGATTAGCATGTGTCAAGCATTTACATAGCGTTCACTCAGAGCCATCATCAAACTCAAATAAAAATAAAAAATGTAAAGTACTATATATTAACTAAATACTACCCCGTTATTTTTTTTTAGTTATTTCGTTTGTTTTTTTTTTTCGACGTAATTTCTATGAAATTACTAGAAAAAAAAAGAGAAATAACGTCAAAAAAAATTAGGGGGATACCCTTTGAAAAGGTATCCCTAAGGGGATCCCTTCGGGGATAGTAAATTAAAATCTATTCGTTCTAACTATCTTTCTTATCTAAGACTCGAACTTAGATTAGGATATTAGGAATATCTTGTTCTACCATTAAACTAATAAGAATTTTTTTTTATAAGATAAACTAGCTATACCATTAAATGAATAGCTATTACTATAGAAATCGTTATTCTTATCTAAGATTCGAACTTAGATTCAGATATTAGAAGTATCTTGTTCTACCATTAAACTAATAAGAATCTTTCTTATTAATTATCTCATAAAAGTATTATAATATGTAAATGTAAAATAGTTTATTTAAAATCCTCTATCTTTTCACCCAGCGCTTAAAAAAAAAAGAAATTATTTCTTTTTTTTTTACCCAGTCTTCTTCTTACTTTTTTTTTGATATATATATCAAAAAAAAAGTTAAGACTGGAAGGTTAATTTTTTTTCTAGTAATTTCATAGAAATTATGTCGAAAATAAAAGGGATAGTAATTTCGAATATTCTAAATTACGTCGAAAAAATAACCGCAAGCTTTAACTTTTTTTTTCATATATCACAATATATGAAAAAAAAAAGTAGGGGAGAGAGAAATAAAATGATAAAAAGGGTTATATATTTTCATAACTATTCACTTGGGTTTTGTTTTGGAGCATACCCATAACATTACTATTAAATTCTATATAGTGCATATAATTTTTGTTTATTATGTTATATAACTATTAAACCATTCATTCGGGTTTTGTTTTAGAGTATACCCATAACATTACTATTAAATTCTATATAGTGCATATAATTTTTGTTTATTATGTTATATAACTATTAAACCATTCATTCGGGTTTTGTTTTAGAGTATACCCATTACATTACTATTAAATTCTATATAATTCCATGGGTGGACTTCCTGAACATGGGCACGCCACCATCACCTACGGGATCACCCTTATTCGTCACATGAGCAAGCACAACCCACCAAGCCACCACAGCATCATAAGACACAGCACAATACCAGCACATTCACCAATCAGCACAATAACAATACCATTATCACGAGAAGCAACATCTGTCACATAATTACAGGCATGAGCGGTAAAAGCAGCAGCATGACCAGCAAGAGCAGCAGCACTGCAACATGGTAATATAATATTTTTAGTTATTACATTTTTTTAGGCCCCCCTCTCTCCAGCTTTTTTTTTAATTTATATAAATAAAAAAAAAGCTGGAGAGAGGGGGGGTCCAAACCGTTATTTTTTTTTTAAGCGCTGGGGGAAAAAGAGATAGCCTTAGGATATAAAAATATAGTACAGCATTTTTACTTTATAGGTAAACTACTAGTTTAATTATAAAGTAATTAATTTATTTTATATCCATGTGTGACTCTCTAAATTTATAAGTTTTTATAAACGGTTTATAATTTAAAAATGTAAACTATCCCTCTTTTTTTTTAGTTATTTCTCTTTTTTTTTCTAGTAATTTCATAGAAATTACGTCGAAAAAAAAAAACAAACGAAATAACGTCAATAAAAGTGTAGTAAAATCAAGTTTTTTAGCAATATATTTTATATGAACAGGATATATACCTACACTTGTTTTTTAGAGAAATGTGACCCCTTGCTCCCCTTCTATTAATCACCTTTATGCAAGCAAAGTTATATTATCTAAAAACAATAAATACAATAACCTTACTATAAAGACATCCGGTATTAGTATGTGATTTGAAAGGTGATTTTTATCTTCAAATGCCAAAGATATCGGTGTATTATACCTAATATATGCATTATTTGCAGGATTAATTGGAACTGCTTTTTCTGTTTTAATAAGATTAGAGCTTTCAGGACCTGGTGTTCAGTATATTGCTGATAATCAATTATATAACAGTATTATTACTGCTCATGCTATAATAATGATTTTCTTTATGGTTATGCCAGCTTTAATAGGTGGATTCGGTAACTTTTTATTACCATTAGGATTAGGAGGACCTGATATGGGATTCCCTAGACTTAATAACATAAGTTACTTATTATTAATACCTAGTATTGTACTATTCCTGTTCGCAGGTGGTATAGAAAATGGAGTAGGTACTGGGTGAACTCTTGAAGGAATTAGGGAGTTATTTTATGGTGACATAAAACAAAGTAAACTCTTCTCGATGCGTGAATATCTTCAAGTAAACTATGTAATAATAGGATTACACGTAATACACTACTCATGTCTAATTTTTATAAAAATATTATTAAATAGTACGTATGTAAGAATGTGTATGTCATGGAGACAATGCGCCTGAATAGTAAATAAACGTCTATTTACTAGTCATCAGAGACTTAACGAAGAGCATCTTAATGACAATTCAAATATGATTTCGCTAAAACAGGGCAAAAACCACCATGCACACATTAAAGATCAATGGGAGCAGTGGTTAGTAGGTTTCACAGATGGGGATGGTAATTTTCATATTTCATATCAAGGAGGTAAATGAGGTTTAAGTTATAAATTAACTCAATCTAGGTATAATTTAAGAGTCTTACACTACATAAAAAAACAACTAGGTGTGGGTTCTATTACCAAAGATGGTACTAAAGGACAATACTTTATAAGGGATAGGAAGATTCTTGAAACCGTTATAATACCTATCTTTGATAAATACCCTCTTTTAACCACTAAATATTTTGACTATGTAAAACTAAAAAAAGCTTTAGTTATATTAAACAACACTAGTCTAAGTAAAGAAGATAAGAATATAAAGCTTTTGGCTATTAAAAACTCTAATGCTAATAGTGATTATATATCTCCAGCTTGAAATAATGCTATTTTACCTTTGACTGATGTAAGCTCTATTAACAATGTAATGAGTAAAAGCTGATTAGTTGGATTTATTGAAGCAGAAGGTAGTTTCTATTTAACAAATAAAGACTCCAATAGAATAGTCCACGGGTTTGGCTTAACTCAAAAACTAGATAAAGTTGTTTTAGATGGAATAGGGATTATGCTTCACATAAGCAACCCTGTTAGGTTCAAAGAGTTACATAATCATTATATATTGGATACGACTAACTCTAGAGCTATTGAAAACATAATACTTTTTTTTAAAGATACTATGAAAGGGGTAAAATCTTTAGAATATAGAATATGGGCTAGATCTTATGTTAAAAATAAAGGTGATTATAATAGATTACTTAATGTAAGAAACATGATAAGGGAATTACGAAAAAATCTGTTAGAAATAAAATAGCTTGTCATATAAGTACAGTCATTAAGATGAAGGTATAGTCCGAACAGTAAAGAGATTTACTGCGTGTAACGATAGTTTTACAGGTTTATTGTTTTATTGTATTAATTTACAGTAAGAAAGTTAAATCCTTAAAATGAGGTTACCAACACAATTGTTACCCTCCATTATCAGGTATACAAAGTCATAGTGGTCCAAGTGTGGACTTAGCTATCTTTGGATTACATCTTTCTGGTATAAGTTCTCTACTAGGAGCTATGAATTTAGGATTAAATGTATTTCTTACATATTTAAGATATTCAACAAGCTTTCAATTAACAGTTAATAAATGTTACTTTAGTAGCAATAAACCAAAATATATGTTTAAAAACAACTCTGAAAAAGATAATAATTATGGTGAGGATAACAATGGAAAAGACAATAACTCTAAAAAAAAGGGTTCTCCTGAAAACAATGATAAACCTAAATTGGATAATCGTTGAAAAGAGATATTGGGTAGAACAGGCCCTAATAAACATGCACATGTAATAGCTGTGGAGCAAATTAATCGCGGTGGAATTGTGACTGCTGAAAAAATTAATGAAATTTTAGCTTACTGTAATATTAAAATTACAGAACAAGAATTAAAATCTTTAATTGATACTGCAAGTTTTACTTTAACTAATTTAGATCAAAAAAGTATAACTAAGGATGTTCTTAAAGATAAACTTGGTTTACCTAATCCCTGCGGGATTCCCCTTAGGGAACCCTGAAGGGATTCCCCGCAGGGGAATAGTAAACAAAGAATTCCTGGTATATATATCTTTACACATACTACTACAGGTAGAAAATATGTAGGTTCATCATCACAGCTGGCTTTTAGATTAAATGGTTATATTAATTTGTCTCATAGAAAGAGTGGTTTATTAATCCCTTTATTACATAAAGAAGGATTGAAAAACTTCTCTTTACAAGTTTTTCCTTTTTACCATAATTACATTAAAGGGTCAGAAATTGCATTAGAACAATATTATTTGTTAGACTCTAGTTTCACATTAAATACCATAAGAGTTGCAAATAATCCTAGCGGGTCAAACTCAAAGAGTTTATATATGTATAACAGAGATATGAGTATATTATATTTTTTTTCAACAAAACAAGTAGATTTTATTAGAAAATTAAATGTTCATCATATTACATTTTCTAAACATTTAAAAAAGGGTACTTTTTATTTAGATAAGTATCTTTTTTCAAGTGAACCGGTGTTAACTGCTAAAGTTAAAGATATGTCTGATTTAGATTTAGCTTTAATGCTGGAAAAGGACAGAGTTAAATACAATAAAAATAAATCTCTTAATAGTTTATCTTCGGCGAAGCCGAAGATTAACATGTGTGGATAATTTAGAAAACATTATTGTGTTACCTAGTCCCCCCTTCCCCCCCCCCCCGCAAACTTGCGGGGGGGGAAGGGAAGTTTAGGTAAATGTGTGGAATATTTACATAACAAAGGTTTATCTGCTTCTCAAGTAACATTAGTTAAACACATTGATTTAGGTAAAGCATATAAAGGATATTTATGTGAATATGTGTAAGAAAATACGTTGTAATGGGATTCATATAAAATTTTTAACTGTATGCTGGGATAGCTCAGTGTTTATAAGTACTTAATAGTAAAAATCTTGTAAGCTATGCTTAATCAGCAGGAAACAAAAGTAATTTTTATTATGATTAGATTCCTCAGAGACTACACGTTAAAGACCGTATATTAATACGCTTAAGATATAGTCCACAAATAGTTACTATTTTAACTATTTTTAGTCATGACAACTACATTTAATATGAGAAGTCCTGGAATAAGATTACATAAACTAATCTTATTTGCATGAGCAGTTGTTATTACAGCTGTTTTATTATTATTATCATTACCTGTCCTAGCCGGTAAACTAATTCTGCCGGCTCTAAATTTGGCCGTATTCTGGGAACCGTTATACGAAAGTATATCGCAATCAGCAGGTAATCTATTAAGTTTGAACTTTTTAGAGAACCTCAG